GGAGAAGAAACTGTTAGGTGACCTCCAAATCTATTTTCTTTTCATCCTAGACACACAGACCCCCTTTTCAGTTGACTATAGTGATATGATTGAGTTTAGGATTGAAAGTGATGTATATCACTTACATTTCTGGGTCATAAGAACCTCACATTTGGAATCCCCTTGAACTTTCCCGTTTTAGCTTGATTCAAATGAAAACACAAACCCTGAAGGAAATCATGTGTGGAAAATGCTTGAGTGACAAGTTGGAAAGAGTTTGCTACTCTGAATCATCAAATGGAAGGAACAGCTGTTCAGTTAAGAACATGTACTTCATACTTACATAAAGGAGAACTAAACTTCTATTATGTCGATCCAGTAAAATATTGGCTATTATTTGTGAATTCAATTAGTGTTACTGTAAATAATATATGCATGTAATACAAAAAACCTTCCTCAACTGTATACAGTTAATTACTGGGTCTATTTCTCAGAAATATCCAGAAATGGATATTTAGGATTACCAATTTTAGTTGTTATTCTATGTGGAATGAGAAGCTATTTATACATGTCGAGTGGGGAGAGTGTGTAGGGGATGATGGTGAAATGGTGTGCATTTTATAAAAATCAGTCTGGCATCAGTGTGGAAAATGGAAAATGAAGTGGATGACTATGTGAGCAGATACAGATAGTGTTGCTAGGAATTTATTTAGTAAGTCCAGGCAGGAGATGAATGCATTATGGATTTAGGATTAACTGTACAAATAGTTGGACTTAAGACATCTTTGGTACATAACATCTAGAGGTAGTAGTCAAAATGGAATTGAGGAAGAAGTTAGTTTCATGAATATGTTCCTGATTTATGGTGTGCACAAATACTTGTTTGCAGACCTTATTCCCTGAGACAGGGAACATTGGAAGAATACCAGGTTTGGGGATGGAATGGAGGAAGATCTTAATTTCAGATTTGGATATGTTAATTCTAATGTACCTTTGGGATTTTCAAGTGGACAAGAATGTATTTGGGTAGTGGGACCATTAAAAGAGACAAGAGGAAGGAAAACAAGCTTATTCTAAACTCTATTCGGTGACATTTTATAAACATGCCCCTATGGTAAACCCTGAGGACAGAATGTACCGTTTTAATTGTTATAACTATTGGTGTTTAGATGATTTGAGGATTAGCTCACAAGGCCCAGTAGAATAACTTTGACTTCACCCTATTGGGAATCCTTCTGAAGCGTTAAGGGAATTTCAGAATGTTTTAAAGAGTAGATTTGCAGATTGCAGGAAGAAATGCTATCTATTTCCAGTTTGGAGTTTCTAAGGAAAATCAATGCACAAATAATACTGCTTCATTTTTGTACCTTTTATGTTACTTCAAGAAAACATTTCCAATTTCCCATGATTTACAGGAAGTAGGTGAGAGAGCAGAGATTTTCATTAATATAGTGTTGCAATTTGTCTGTATGATAACAAACACCTAAGTAAGAAATTAACATCCTGGAAAGGACTTTTTTCTTTTTAAATCAGCAACCAAAATCTAGACAGACAGAAGTAAATGTCTGTCTGAACATGTATATTTTGGTTAGAATTTTTACTCGATAGATAAATAACACATTTTGGAGGGAGTTTTTATTTTTCATTTTTCATTTTATTTTATTTTTTAAAGATTTTATTTATTTATTTGACAGAGAGAGAGAGAGAGAGACCACAAGGAAGCAGAGAGGCAGGCAGAGAGAGAGGGGGAAGCAGGCTCCCTGCTGAGCAGAGAGCCTGATGTGGGTCTTGGTTTCAGGACCCTGAGACCATGACCTGAGCTGAAAGCAGAGGCTTAACCCACTGAGCCAGCCAGGCATCCCTGGAGGGAGTTTTTAAATAATAAACTTTGGTTAACAGAAGAAAGAAAAATAGAAAAATTCAATAATTGTGGTAAGAAAAATTCAGAGTTCATTTCATAACGTGAAGTTTGCTTAATTGAGATATAAGCTAAGCAGCTCAAATCTAACTTATTTGTAACTTTTTCAGACTGGGAACTTCTGGTCTAAGGTTTGTTGCTGAGTACAACACAAATTCTTTAATTTCATGAAATCACAAGAATATGGGCTAAAGTCACTGGTGGTAACTTCAAAATTGCTCCTTGTCTCATTTATCACATAACTTGAGAAAAAAAATTCACAGAGATTACTAATTGGTCAAGTTACACGCTATAGGAACTAAAACTAGGAAAACCAACATTTGGTTATTTGAGACTATAAAGTTGGACCAGTGTATGCAGAGCAAAAATCTCCTATGTTCTAAATTTTCAATATTTTGTCTGTGTTGTATATTGGGGTTCCTGGTGGGTATACACTCAAAAGTAAAAATTCTAAAGCTCATAAATTCTTCCTTTATTTTTAGTGGGGGTAGAATAATATCTCACAGTCTTCTCTTACGCTGATCACTGATTCATTGAAAAAGAGCCTTTGTTCCTATTTCTACATTAAACAAACTCAATTTTTCAAATATATTCTAATGGTAAAAAAATTTTTTTTGTGTTCTATCAGTACTGAGAGATACGACTATAAAATTATAAAAATGTTTTTTTCATCCCAGGAAATACCATAACAATCTGTATATCTGAATGTTTTCCATTTTCTTTTTATGGTAATATAAAAGAAACTGTATTCACTGGAAAACTCCTTTTTAGACTTCTTTCAGAGACTATTTATAAATCACGAAAAAAAAATCCATGTCGGGGCGCCTGGGTGGCTCAGTGGGTTAAAGCCTCTGCCTTCGGCTCAGGTCATGATCCCAGGGTCCTGGGATCGAGCCCCACATCGGGCTCTCTGTTCGGTGGGGAGCCTGCTTCTTCCTTTCTCTCTCTGCCTGCCTCTCTGCCTACTTGTGACCTCTGTCTGTCAAATAAGTAAATAAAATTCTTAAAAAAAAAAAATCCATGTCATTACTTCATACAAACACCACATGTTAAATTCACAACAGTGACTAAAAAGTAAGTATGAAGAAATAAGATTAATAAAAATATTACTAAAATTGAAAAAAAACCCTCTAAAAAACTCTTGTTCTATTTGAATCCCTATTTTATACAATTACAGGTAATTTTGGGGTATTAAAAAAATTGTATCTACACTCAATGGTTAAAAGTTGTCTCCCATTGACAATTTCTAAAAGAAAATGTTAATTTCTCTGAAGACTATTTCTGTCCTTAACTGATATATACATGCAAAAATTAACAGATAATTGCATCCTAATTTTATAATGCACGTTTCAGTGAAAATCTTGAAAAAGAAAACAATAGGATTTCATCATTCTTGTTTCTTTTCCCCATTATTAACATGTTGGAGACTCTTTCACACATCTCTTTATGTATGTATAAAGGCCTACATAGACATACACACAAATAAATCAATTACATAATTTTATGTGAAAGAGATCATAATATATATGCTGCTGTTCTCATAGAACTTTTATTTTGACTTCTCTCTTTTCCTCTTCTCCTTTTCCCTCATTTCTACCTCTACTTCTATTCTAGAAAGCCCAATGCTATCAACTTAATTTCTAATATCCACATTTTTTTCCAGGTAGAAGATTTAAAAATGCATTGCTCATCTTACAATAATGAAATCTTATTTACACTTCTCTGTATCATATTCTTCTCAGGTAAAAATTACATCATGAAAATTCCCAGTTCAAGTGGAATGACTCCTTTTTTCATGGCTGAATTGTATTACAAAACATAAGTATACATAAATATGATTTATTTAGCCATCTCACTGTAGATGTGTCTGGTCTTTGCCACCTTGAAAAATAATTCATTGGATAGTCTTTGTATATCTATCTTTGTATAGTTGTGCTTTTATTTCTAGGGTATATGTAAGGCAAAATTTTAAGTCAAAGGGTATATGTATTTATTAAAAACTTAAATGGTATCATATAAAATTGCTCTTTCTAGAAGACTGTTGCAATTCATAGATCCACAATTAACATGAAAGGAGCACTTTTCTCACCTCAGTCAGCAGTATTTATTCACTTTAATTTCTGCTAATCTGATATGTGAGAAAGGAAGTATCTGTGTATGTGTTTGTGTGTGCATGCCTGCACTTGCACATGTGTGTTTATGTGTGACACATAGAAAACTAGGCATCTTTTCATTTTATTTGTTGGTTATTCATCTGTAAACTTGCTTGTTCATATCCTTTATTCATTCTTCTTTTAGATTGTTTGCCTTTTTCTTATCTATTTTTATGTTATTCTTATATTATGTATTATGTCATTCATAAATCTGTATCTTCCATATACACTGTAAAATGTATTTCCCAACCTATTATATGCCCTCTGACTCTGTCCAATACTCTTTTCTGGATAAGAATTTCTCTTATCACTATGTTATATTGTTGTCTCCCAAATTTCTTAGAAAATATCCATGCTGTGAGTTAGGAGCCTAACCTGTTCATATCCAGACAGATAGCCAAGAATGGCAGCACAATCCATTAAATCCATCATCTTTCTCCTACTGAACTGAAACATCGTATTGTCTTATGCCACATTTCTGTATATAATGGAATCTATTTCTGAGCTGGCTGCCTATTATTGCATTGACCCTCTTGTGTATTCTTATTCTACTATATTAATGTTTTGATTATTATATCTTTATGTTGTAGTTCAGTAGAAATTAAGGTACTCTTGACTGTTCTTAACTATTTACATTTTTCTTGGGTAAAATGGGAAATTTCTTTCTTTCATATAATGTTTAGATGAGCATATACAGTTCTTAAAACCTCTGTTGGATTAAGAAGGATTTGTATTTAATTTTCTTGTTACTTTAGGTGAATTATCATTTAAAACTTTTTATTATGGAAATTTTTGAATGTATATTAAAGGACATATATAAAGGTAAAAATTTAAAAATTGGTAATCATATGAGAAGCACCTTTTACATCAGTTACACAAAAAATACACGGTTTTTATGATTATTTTGTGACTGTTTCAACAATATTTTTCTTTTATTTTACCATCTGGACAGGTTGGATATGGCAGAAGAAAATAAGACACTCGTGGCTGAGTTTGTTCTCACAGGACTCACAGACCTTCAAGGGCTGCAGGTCCCCCTGTTCCTGGTGTTCTTGGTCATCTATCTCACCACCATGGTGGGCAACCTTGGACTGATTTTTCTCATCTGGAAGCATCCCCATCTTCACACCCCCATGTACTTATTCCTCAGCAGCTTAGCCTTTGCAGATGCTTGTACTTCATCCTCTGTAACTCCCAGGATGATTACACATTTTTTATCCAAGAATCATGTGATATCACTTTTTGGCTGTATGGCTCAATTTTATATTTTTGGTTCTAGTGCCACCACAGAGTGTTTCCTGCTGGTAGTAATGGCTTATGACCGCTACATAGCCATATGCAACCCTTTGCTTTATCCAGTCTTAATGTCCAGGAACCTCTGTACTCAGTTCATTGGTGTTTCATATTTCATGGGTTTTCTACATTCAGCAATTCATGTGGGTTTGTTATTTAGATTAACTTTCTGCAGGTCCAATGAAATACATTATTTCTACTGTGAAATTTTACAACTTTTCAAAATTTCTTGCACTGATCCTACAGTTAATACACTTCTGGTTTTAATCTTTTCGGCCTTTATACAAGTCTTTACTTTTATGACCATCATGGTTTCTTACATCCGTATCCTCTTTGCCGTCATGAAAAAGAAGTCTGAAAAGGGCAGGAGCAAAGCCTTCTCCACATGCAGTGCCCACCTGCTCTCTGTTTCGTTGTTCTATGGCACTCTCTTCTTCATGTATGTGCGTCCTGGTTCTGACCACACTGATGATCATGACAAAATGTATTCCTTATTTTACACAATAATAATTCCTCTGCTAAATCCTTTTATTTACAGCTTGAGGAACAAAGAAGTTATAGGTGCCTTGAGAAGAATAATGAAGAAATAAATAGTTGCCAATTTTCAAAATGTTTCTTTTTTATAATCTGCTGAAAAAACACCCCAAGTCCTGACTGCCATTCCACCAGAAGGCTAATGGTCAGAGGAGTTAATAAAGTGTGTGTGAAGCATCCCAGCTTCCCAATAAGCTTTCTTGGAATGGGTCCAGTGAAAGTTTGGGAACATTACCTCTAGAACTTGCTTAATTAGAAATATTGTGCTTTATTTTTATCTGAAGCATTTAGTTTTTGCAAATTGGTTATTTTCTAGGGCTTTCCAAAATTTCAGATAGATACAGACAATTATGGAGAGAAATAGCTGTAATAGAGGCTGGCATATAGAGTTAGTCTTTTAGTTCATGAATGAGCCCAGCCCATTGCTCTGCACTTGCAAATCAATAAGGCTTTGTTGTTTTCTGCCACACATAGTTACTTCAGTTGACTAATAAAATAAAATTCTGCTTCTTGGAAAAATATTTCTTAAGAAGAAATGTACTGTTTGGTGATAAAGTTAAGAAAAAAAATGAAAATTTCTAAAGAAAATTGTGGATGTTAGGAAGAAAATGAAAGTTGGCATGAATTAAAGAATGAGATATCAAAATTAACCACAGCTCAGAGCTGTAATTTCATGCACTGTTTTTATTTTTTTTAAATCAGGGATACTGCATGCAGCATGATATTCAATAATTTATAAATTTAGGAATATTTGAGTGCAATATAAAGCAATTTGGATCAGCCTCGTGGTTGCATTACTATTCCTATCAGTTTTAGTTAGAGTAACTAAGGGAAAGGCAAGGAGGTTATATCAGAGATAAGAACCTGACTTTGCATGTAGAGATATACAATTATCAGTGAATTTTCTTTCACTAATTTACTTCCAATTCAGGGATATGATCACTTAAAAGATATATATACATATATATATTTCTATATGTATATATTCTAATTTACTTTAATCAAGTGTGTCAAGTTTATCAAGATTGTTCATTGTAGAGCCTGTTTTTATGGTATGCAGCTGCACTAAAATTGGATGTGAGGCAAACATCCCTTTAAGTGCTTGGTTATAAGCAAGTTACCTAAGCTGGGAGACCCCCAACATGGTACCTTTCCTGTGCTGAGTGATCTGTGCATACAAGAGTTTGTATTCAGTGAATGAGGCTTTGGAAACTATCAGAATATTCAAAGCTTCTGTCATGTGACTGTTATGCATGCTGCTGTTTTACTTGTTCTGTATTCTTGCTTAAGCTATGTGAACTTGGGTAATAAACTTGGGTAAATAAACAGTGGATAAACCTATTTTATCTTGTGAATTTGAAGTCATTCTACACTTGAAATTTACTTAAATGGCCCTTGTGAAGAAGGATGGGTAGGGGAAAAAAACTCTTTTGAGACTTTGGTGCTGGGATAGCTGAAACCCCTGGTTCACGATAGTGGAAAATTTTTTTTTTTTTGAGGCAAATTACAGTATATATCTTATCAATGGAATTTAAGTTACATAGTTTCAAACATCTAGGATTTAGCAAAATGGTTTGGTTAATAAACCACTTTGGAAAACAATGTGGAGATTCCTTAAGAAGTTAAAAATAGAGCTACCCTATGACCCTGCAATTGCACTACTGGGTATTTACCCCAAAGATACAGATATAATGAGAAGAAGGGCCACCTTTACCCCAATGTTCATAGCGGCAATGGCCACAGTTCCCAAACCGTGGAAAGAACCAAGATGCCCTTCGATGGACTAATGGACAATAAACAAAGACAAATAGGGATAATGGCTAGAAACATTGCTTGTTGGTTATCAATAGCATTAACAAAATGGTAATTCTATCAGAAGAACACAAAGAAGTAGACTGACTTAGGAGAGATGAGACAAATACATAAAATAGAAGATGAGTCATAAAGTTTTTTGCTTGGCTGATATTATATTCACCTGGAAGCCAACATATTCACTGTCCTTGAGAATGAAGGACAAAACCAGGTTACCATAGAGATGGGGGGACATTGTTAAATAAGTGGGACATTTTTCCAATAAATAAACACTAGAAACCTGATGATTTTTTGTTAGTCCAGACACTCAAACCACATGATCAAGGGAATTGTATTTCAATGGTAGAAAATCCATTGAGTTTGAATGGAGATGATTAAATGGCCTGATGAATGTGGACTTCAGTATACATTTTCTTTCTAAATAATGATACTACCATGGTTAAGGTAGAAATCTAACAAGCTTCCATTGAAAAGGGTAACTGCGCTTTTTTTTTTTAATGATTAATGCTTTTTAAGAAAAATTATTTTATTTTTTCAGTGTTCCAAGATCCATTGTTTTGCATCACACCCAGTGCTCCAGGCAGTACATGCCCTCCTTAATACCCACCACCAGGTTCACCCATCCCCCCACCCCCCTCTTTCAAAAACCCTCAGTTTGTTTCTCAGAGTCCACAGTCTCTCATGGTTTATCTCCCCATTTTTTTTTAACCTAATGATACATAAAATATCCCTGCAGAATTGGTAGTGGAAATGTTCTAACTGGAGATACCTTAGATTGTATATAGATAACAATAATATCACTCCTAATGAAAAATGCCTCCATGCAAACTTTGAGAATTCAGTGATAAGGACAGTTCATTATGCTTGGAACCCTTATACAATCTTGTAGGAAAACAAAATATAAAGACAGCTATAGAAAATTGTTAGCAATCTCTTTTTCCTGGATCTCAGTGACAGAAGAAAGTTCTGTGCTTTTCAAAAGAAAAGGAATAACCAATGATGGCATAGTCACATGGATTTATTTTGGTGCCACATGGAAGTTGGATCAAAAAGAAATAAATTGGTGAAGGTACTATATAATACCTGATGGTGATTACTGGTTGGGAGGTGGAAAATACCTGATAGTTTGGGCAACTACACTTGCCTTGCTAAAAAGAACAAGACAGATTTGTTGTATGGGATATGTTGTTTGGGATATGTCAAAATGTACGTGGTAAAATAAAGTGAGGGAGCATGGGTGTGGGGATATTCCATTTGTTAAGGCAATAGAATAAGAAGATTGAGCTCTACTTACAAAATATCAGCAGGGAAATCCAAACATGAATGACTGGTCTAAGCTGAATGGCTTTAAGGTGGTGAACAGAGTTTTCTGGGATTACCAGAAACTAGAACATAGTACATGATGATATCAACAAGAGGCAGGGAGTACAACATTGGAGAGCCAAAGATAAAACTCTGAGGATAATGTGATGCTGTACTAGAAAGTACCAGGGTTAGAGTAAATTGTAAATTGGAATACGTGAGTGTAAGAATAACCTGTAGAAATGTCACCTCTATCTGAGTGTTTTATTGGATTTGATATGTTGTGAGACTGGAGGTTTTTTTTTTTAAATTTTATCTTATTTTTTCAGTGTTCCAAGATTCATTGTTTATGCATCACACCCAGTGTTCCATGCAATACTTGCCCTCCACAATACCCACCACCATGCTCACTTAACCTCCCACCCCTCTCTCCTCCAAAACCTTCACTTTGTTTCTCAGAGTCCACAATCTCTCATCGTTCATCTCCCCCTCCAATTTCCCCTAATTCATTTTTACTTCCCTTCTCCTAACGTCTTCCATGTTATTCCTTATGCTCCGCAAGTAAAAGAAACCATATGATAATTGACTCTCTCTGCTTGACTTATTTCACTCAGCATAATCTCCTCCAGTCTTGTCCGTGTTGATACAAAAGTTGGGTATTCATCCTTTCTGATGGCATAATATTCCATTATGAAGGCATAATATTCCATTGTATATATGGACCATATCTTCCTTATCCATTCATCTGTTGAAGGGTATCAAGGCTCTTTCCACAGTTTGGTGATTGTGGCCATTGCTGCTATGAACATTGGGTGCATATGGCTCTTCTTTTCACTACATCTATATCTTTGGGGTAAATACCCAGTAGTGCAATTGCAGAGTCATACAAGAGAGACTGGAGGTTTTTGCCATTGCCTGCCAATATCTAATCAGGTCAAGACTGCCTCCATCCATTTCTAATTCTACACACAAATAGAACCTGTAGAATTGTGCAAACTCTCCTCTGTAGTGAATATTAAACAATATGAAATCCTTGGAGGACAATAACCCATTCCTGCGTTAAGATATGGTGGAAATAGGGATATTAATGCCTTATTGACTAACTATATAAAGATCCTGTCTGGTACTTAGGAAAAAAGAGTTAATGAAGATTTATTATGACTACTGAGGACTAAATAAAATAGTTTCACTGTTAAGCTTCTCTCCACTAAGTCTGGTAAAAGCCATTTAAGAAGAAGGCCAGCAAACTAAAGGTGACTGGTATGCTACTACAGATTTGGTCAAAGATTCACGTTTTTATTCCAGTTTCAGAAGAATTTTGAAAATGAAACAATTTTCTATCATTTGACAAAGTCTCCCATACATGTTTGAGATATGTTAATCACTCCAGTATAGCCTTATACCCTGGTTAGATAAGATATAGATTCAATCCTTATAAAGAAAATACTAGCTCATTACATTGAAAATATATTCTATTATAATTTATCTCTGAGAAGAGGAAGACACCTAGGAACTAAGAATTGTGGTGACACATGACTAATCCAAAATGGTTGATCTATCCAGCTAAAATATAGGGCCTTGGCTTAGCCATAAAATTTGGCAGAATAATTTGAACTGGAGCCACAATAGACATTTTACAGATAATACAGAATAAATTACTGTCTTTTCAGAACCTCGAGATAAGAAGAGGTCTATTTACATGTTGGTAAGAGTATATACCGCACTTGAACATTTTATTAAGCCATGTATTTAGGTATTCAAATAAATCTGAATTTTATTGGAGTTGGGGGAAAAAAAAGACAACTCTTAGAGACTCACACTGAGCCCAGACAGTCTCTCTGGAATCACATCCTCCCAAGTTACAAATGATTTCGAGGGCATTTGTTACCCAGTTACATGAAGATTGGAGTCTCTGGCAAACATCAATACTACCACACACATG